GATGATAATTCCTTGACGTTAGAGCTTGGAGCGTTATTAGACCCACTCGGTTTCTCGCTCGTTTTGTCAGTGGGAGTAGGATGAGAAGCAGAATGATGAGATCCGCCATTATCATTACCATAATAATAACCATCATAGTTTTTGTAAGCGAGACTAGTGAGTATAAAGTAAGACAAGAGAAATAATAAAACTCCTTTTACTAACATATTTATAGATAGATATTAGTAAATGAATATCTTTAGAAAGTCATTGCAATTTTATCATTTGAGATTATGGCGATGGGTGATAGTTAGGGTTGAAGACTGGTTTATAACAGCGATAAAAGTAACAAAAGTTGATTACAATGAGATGTGGCTTGGAACTTTCTGTATTAGTCTAATTAATTCTGTTCAGTGTTGATAAAATGAAAATTTAGCTCATTATCTACAAGCATTAAATAACATACAGTTTTTCAGTGGATGCTTATAGGGTAAGGTGAAAATAGAAAGAAAAGACAAATCAGAAGAACTTTAATTTTCCAAATGATCGAACTGTAGAGACTTGAAATTTCATAATGATATGATATTCTTTTTCTCACTTAGTCGATTTCCTGATTTCCTACAATATGAACTCTTGAACTCTTTTCAAAAAGGTGTTAACGAACGTAAATCATTTATATCATGCTATTTTCAGAGTTTTCAAGACCTGTTTGCATCAGATCTTTAATTTTTATTAACCAGAGAATTTCAAGATTCATCGATTCCCCACATAATCGTAAAAGCAGACACCTTTACTTGGTTATAAGTTTTTAACATAATGTATATTTATTTAATAAAAAATTTTTATTTTTCTATAGAAATTTTTAATTGAATTTGCCACAACACCTCAACAACGGGATTAGTATGGCATTTTGTTATTTAAATTTTTTTTGTGTTTATTAAAAAAAACAAATATATACGAATTACGTTATCGTTATCGTTACATATATTAATATGTACTCAATAAAAATATCTACTTTTTTGAAAGAGGCTTATCCAGTTTTATCGTATATATCTAGTTATCCTTCATAGCCATTCAGTGAATCTTCACGAGTCTCAGCCATTCAAAATTAACAGTATCCAGATTTTAAATTGATGCATGAATAATCACACTCATCAAATTGATTCTATATCTTTGCAACGCTAATTCTACATGGTTATCTGTTATTTACCGATTATTTTAACGTTAATATTTTAATAGAGCATTCATTTATTAACCGTGGATCAAACCTCTTAACAAAATATTCTATACAAAATTTTAAGATCTCTGTAATATAAATTTAAAACGACTGCCTTTTTTCACTAAAGTGGTATACAGTAAACAAAAATAGTATTATAGCTTAAAGAATAGATATTTATGAAAAATAAAATTATTGCGAATGAAATAATAAAATTTGAATCGACGCAAACGATGGATACATTAGTAGACGCACATATTCATGCATTAAGAATTTTCGATAATAGACCAACGGGTTGAAATGGTTGAAATTTCTTTTTACATAACAGTTTAACTCAAACAAAAATTTATTTTGCTATTTTTTTTTTTTTTTTTTTTTTTACAAATATATGGTTACAGGTCAAAAATCCCGAAACTTAAATTATCTAGTGGGGTATTGATGGTATAGTATTTAAAGTCCGCTGGTCTAATCGGCTGGCTTTAAATATTATCACGCGACGCGATAATTTAAGGATTTTGGTTGAAATATATATTTAATATATGCAAGAAAAGGTATACGAAGACAAGTTAAAATATTTATTTAGCCTCGCTATGGCATATTTGTATTGACTATAAAATGCGTCATTTACTATTTGATAATTCTTATTGAACTTATATAGATAACGTCTAATCTTCCCGTGAAAAGATGCGTTAAACGTTATCTACTTGATTGATAGGAAGTGTCAAAAGAAACCATGGCAGTTTATAGTCTAATCAGTATTTAATTACGCAACTACTCCGTAACGTTTATTTAAATTACATTATAATGTAATCCCATTCTTTTTGATTCACAATGTCCATTTTTTTTTTGAATCAAAAAGAGTGGGATTGTCATTATAATTCTTTAAAAATATTCATGCACTTTACAGCTGTTTCATAAATTTTAGGACAATGAAAAAATTGCTCAAAACCGAATCGATAAGTTTCTGATTTCGGCCGACATCGATAACTTATCGATTCGACCATCGGAAAGCTTTCAGTTGTCCCAGAATTTATGAAAACAGTTGTATATAACTAATAATTAACCCGAATGATCTATTATTTAAAAAACAATAAGGAGTTTGTAAATATTGAAATAGGATATTAAATAGCTAAATACTATTACGAAAATTCGAAGTTCTGACCAAACACTTCTAAAAAGCCAGTAACAATGTTAACACTTGCCAAAGGGCTAGTTAACTCACCTGCCAAAGAGCCATTAAAGCTAGAAGACTTATTTAGACACACAGAATGAAACTATACACCGATGTCAAATAAATAATTATTTTGATGATATCAGTATTAGTAAATTATTTTGATGATATCAGTATTAGTAAATTAATTTATAATTTCCGAATTTTCATTAATAAATTAAATTTCATTTCGGCTAGAGCTTGGATCCGTTATCCATTGGACACTAAATTCGTTAAATTTAATACGTATGAAAATGGATAGATCTAATTTTGACAATTATAATTTTCCTTAATGATTAAATTTTATACTTGACAAAATTAGTGTTTGGACTCGAGTCAACTCGTAGCTTAAAAAACATAGTCTTGAGTTAATTCGAGTTAAGACTATGTTTTTTAAGATACGAGTTGACTCGAGTCCAAAACTATTATTATTAGTATTATTTTATTTTGGCAATCCTGCATCTGTTTATTAAGAATATATAGTAATATAATACTACAATCTAAGTCTTATATGTACGTACATATCTTCCTAACCTAACAGAGACTCGTCCCCTTGGTGCGACCCGCCTCAACAACAATTTATCTCCTTCCGGATTCTTAACTTTGTATA